ATGAGTTTTGGTGCATGCATCTCATTGGAGCCACTTAAGCTGCCATATTAGTGGGTTTTGGAGTCCATTTTTGCATGTTAAGTTTCTGTTTTTGCTTGTCCAATTCATGCCATGAGTGGTCATGTTGGTGGAAGTAAAATGCCCCCTTTTGTGCCTTGACCTTAGGACCATTGGCTTGTTTGTTAGCATGAGTATTTGTCCACCATTTTGGACACTTTTGGCCACTGTTTTAGGGTGGATCAAGGTCTACCCCTTTATGGTTTAAGGCCCCTTTGCATGCTTGTCTCATGTCCATTGCATAATTGTTTCATTAGGTGTTGTAATATGTTGATCCTATTGCTTAGATTGTCCATGTTTGCATTGCATTTGCATCTTGTATGCCTAGCATTGCATACTTGCCATATTAGTTGCATGGCATTTGGCATGCCTTGCATTTTCAATCTCATGTTGTGTCATGTTTGCATAACATGCATTGCATTACTTGGTTTGGGGTGTCAAACCAAGTGTGAGGGTCAAGGAGCGTTCATACTGTAAGTGATGTAATGCGCCTTGACTCTCGGTCACCGGGGCCCTTGACTTCAGCATGATAGGGTCTTGGTCCTCATTTGTGTGATTGCATGCATTTTTACATCAAGTGGCAAGCTTGATCCCTTGGGCTATCATGCACCATTGATGGCTCGAGGATCGAGGGCCATGCTTCCCTGAGTTCAAAGCATGATGGGAAACATGACCATGCTCACATGTGCCTGAAATCCCATGCCATACACTGTCTGTCCTCTGTTGCTGTCAAAATTTTCCTCTGCAGGAATCTTCTGCCGACCGGCAGCATCCAATGCCGACCGGCCATTTGCGAATGGCCGATAACTCAAACAGCAGCCGATGGGAATTATACAGGGCCGGTGGGCATTTCCCCCAGCCGGTGGTATTCTGCAGAATTCAAGGAACCTGTCCCAGGACTTTGGCATTTTTCAGAGAAGCAGGGCAGTGTAAACAGAGGCAAACTTAGTATGGTACGGGTTTTCCGGGCAAGGCGGGTTCGAGCATGCATCATTCGCGCATCTTGAGGCGGAGGCTGTGGCCACCTTTCTCCTTTTTTTTCTTTCTTGCATTCTTTCTATTAATTAAGTAGAAATTCTGTAATGATTAATGTATTTATTATTTGGACTGTAATATTTATTTGTACCCTCCGAGTGAGGGCAATTATGTAATCAGTGTGCGTGAGTGGGTGTATGTATTCCAACCCCACGTCTTTCTTCCCTTTTATTTACCCGCTTATGATGGTAGACTAGGGCATCTTTAAAATTAGCATACCTTATGCAATGCATGCGTGCATTCGTACATTTGCCTTGCATGCACCAGGCTCGGCACATCATTCTAACTGCATTTGTACTTCAATTTCAAATTGAATACGTGATAGTTGTAGCATTTCACATACCATGTTTAGGTTAGCCGAGCCTATCTAATTGCATCCTGTATGTGTTGCATTAGTCAACTTGACATGAACTAGGATCACGCATGTTTGCTAACCAGTTTATTGTTTTGGCACGGAGTACGATGTAAGTATTTATGCTTTAGCATCATCGCATGCGTATGAATGCTATCATGACAGTATACTTACCATGTGGCTAGATGCTTATGTGTTAAACTGTTTGAATGCCTGTGGGTGAAGGTTGGATTGTTTGAGTTGGAAAAACTCGTTGAAATCCGTATTTTAGCCTACTTGCGAGTAGCAAATTCCAAAGTACTTTTTTTTTAAAGACAAACGGATATGCAATGTTTCTTTCAAAATTAGGCAATCTAGTCTATACTTGTTTGCTGTGCGCATAACACAGTAATTCTAGGCTAACAATTGGAATAAGAACACATAATGTTTTCAAAAACGGATATCACGGTTAGTAGAGGCCGATCTTCGGATCGGGCGAGAGGGGGTGCTCATAGCTGACCTTCCCCAATCGTACCCTAGCTCCCGAGCCGAGGCAACTCTGGTGATGACGGACATGTGGCCTTCGGCACCGAGTCAGGGTTTCCTAAATTCCCCCATAAAAAATATTTAGGTGGCGACTCTGTATCTAGCGAAGCAGCCCATGTTTGGCACTTCTTTTTCTAAAAATCTGTTTCTCAAAACGATTTGCCAGATTTGGACTCTTCGGTTCAGATTAAGAACCGTGACACAAATCGAGTCCGAACTGTAGTGAGGCCCTCGCGAGCGCGTCTACAGAGAGGAGGCCAGATTTAACTGATCTGAGAGTGCTTTCACTTGACCTAGATAATCCTCCATAGAATGCCCTTTCTTGGATAGATGGTTCAATTGATTCTTGAGCTTATGAATATGAGACCGAGAAAGAGAAGTAAAACGTTTTTCCAATGACAACCATACCTCAAAACTTGATTTGCAAGAGCAAATGGATGTGTAGATTGTTGGAGACAAAGTTGCGGTGATGCAACTAAACAAATGTGCATCAATAGTTAACCATTGTTGATATTGTGGATTCACAACCTCCTTATTCGAAGAATCAAAGATGATCAATGGAAGACATGTCAAAGAACCATCAACATAGCAGAGAAGCTTCGTTGCAAGCAGAATATTGAGTAATTGATTTTTCGATATGATGTAATTGGTAGAATCAAGCTTGACATTCTCAAAGGAGTTGAGATTTGAGATGAGTAATGTGAGATTTGGTGGGAGATCAAATGAATTCAGAAGGAGATTTGATGAATCTACCATTGAAGAAAACCTAGGGCTCGTTGGAGCTCAAAATGGCTCTGATACCATAAAGTGATTTCAAAGAATCAAAAATATCTTCATTGTCATAAACAGAATATCAGTACACCTTTTATACATGTAAGTGTAACTACCTAACTCAACTATAGTTCTAACTAACTCTCTTAACTAACTAACAGCAGATTCTATTATAACTATGGTTTAAATAAATGCTGACTGGACTGCTTTCTCTCTAAGCCTGACTATGCCTTTGACTGGGATTTACATATCTCATTAGAAATTGAGCAATTGTATTTTCAATTGTCTTTATTTGGAATAAGATTCAAAATTCAGAATTAAATATGTCACAATTAAAAAGTCAGTGATCAAAGTGGCACGAGTCTTAAATTATAAGGATTGTTAGTGTAATTCATCCAAATTTTGGAAAACTAAAAAATTATTTCTTAGATTTATTTAGTTTTTCCCGAAAATACTTATTTCACAACATTTATATAAGAAATTATATTCAATTAATAATGTACTAAAACTAACTCAGTATTTTTTATGCATATAAGATGGTCCCTCCAAGATAAAACTTCCCGTTCTGTCTCTAAAATTAACAACATTTTATGAGAGTTGAACTTAAAACCTGAATGAAGCACGTCCCAAATCCAAAGCTGCACCTATTAGGTCCCTAGGAGTTGGCTAGAACTTCATTTTATTGCATAGAAGAATAAATTTGACAAAAGAAAAGTAAAAAAAGATGAAACTATATATCCAATGAAAACATTACACCACTGCTTGTTCAGCACCTCAAAGATCCCAAAGGTCCATTTTATCAATAAAAATGTCATTCCAATCACTCTCTCCTTGAACAGAACTGTCGCCAATTGCCAGAATACCTTGTGTTTCCTTTTCATGCCATTTCTCCTCGTTTGATCCATCAATTGACAATGTGATTTCTTTGTTAATTTCCAAGTCAACAAACATGTTTTCCCACCACGATATTCCATCGTCCCTTGGCGGCGATAGTGGTGGTGATAGTTGCTTGAAGAGATTGTTTCTTGTTTCAATATTAGCTATGGCGGTTGTTTTGGATTTTAACCAAATTAGGTTTTTTGAGAAGGTTCGAGGTCGAGGTCGTATAGCTTTGGTCTCCATCATCCTCGGAGTCTTAACTTTCACCACTTCAATTTGAGGTATCAGCTTCTTCTGCAAGTGGGTATTCCAGTAGTTTTTTACATCGTTTGCTGTCCTTCCTGGAAGTCTGCCCGCAATTAGCGACCATCTGAATAAAAAGATAAAGTGAAAATATTAGATATGTAATATATTAATAAGATACAAATAGTTGGAAGCGCTATTATGATTTATGGCAAGGAAAATATTATCAATAAAATTTTAAAAAAGTCTTAAAATATAAAAATTAATCACAAAATTAAACAGAACTCTCTCACCACAAGGTTATATTTGGATTTATAATTGATTTATGTGCGAATTGCACTTTGATAGGCACATTACACATCATGCACATTCCGTACAATCACAACTTAATATAATTAGAATTATAATTAATATGATCAAACATATTAATTCACAAATTTGAAATAAATATTAAGTACAATGATTCTGTCTTAGAAGATGTCATCGATTAATCAAAAAATAACAAACATCTTTTGTTTCTCACTTATTCAATAATGTAATTTGTTAATAATTAATAATATTATTACAAAATATTACTATTATATTCGATATTTAGTCCAAAGCTTGATTAACTAATTTGTAAAGATTGATAATGACTGAATGGTATAACAAATATTGTGCCTGTTTGGCAGAACTTAAAAGCAGCTTATTTCAGCTTTCAGCTTAATTTAAGCTATTTTGATGTGTTTGGTTTAGCTTATAGCTTATAACTTATAACTTATAACTTTTTGAAAGTCAAAAATCAACTTATTCTTTGAGTGGAGCAGGAGATGCTTAATTTATAAGTCAGAAATCAGCTTATGTTCATAGTTATAAGCTATAAGCTATTTAAGCATAAGCTGTAAACACTTTCCCACAATTCTACCAAACAGGGTCATTATTGTGAACTTGGACTGAACTTACAAATCATAAGAGACATATTATTGTGTTGGAGAAAAACAAACTAAAAAGGCTGAAAAGCAGTAAAAAGATAAAGGATTTGTTTGGTTTGTATCTCAAGATATAATTTTTGATAAAAATTTTTAAAATTTTATTTGATTTGAATTTTTTGAAAAAAAATTTCAAAATCATCTTCTCTCTCCTACACATTAATCAATCACTTTTCATCTCTCATCTCTTCTTCCGAATCACTTTTTCTCTCACACACATCAACTACAACAAAATATCAAATCATCCGAAACTTTCAAATTTTAAAACTATTTTCAAAATATACAGTCAAATAAATCAAAAAAATTCTAAACTCTTTCTCTAAAAAAAAAAATTAAAAATTTATCTCAAAATACAAATTAAACACACCCAACAAATATCTAACCATCCCCCTATCCCTACATGAGAATATTATTATTCTATAATAAAGTTTGAGATGGGGTTTAGCTGCTGACCATTCTTCCTCGAAAAATAAACCAAAAAAAAAAAGGGAAAAATTTATCCTCTAACACTAGCCAAAAATGAAAAGCAAAAATGTTTAGAAGCTCTAAAATAGGAGTTTTAAAGGTGCTCTAATTGTGTGAGCCTCACAATGATAATAATATTTATGCTTATGTTTGTTTGTTTAATAATGTTTGAGACCACTAAAAGTGATGTTCTAAAAGCACCACCAGTGATGTGGCAGTAGACGGGGCCTACTGTTTGTCTTTTTTTTTTTTTTTTATGCTTGCAACTCATTAGTGATGTTTTAGAGTATCATTTTTAGTGAAATGTATCATTACCGTTGTTTGTTAATTTTTTTTTTTTTTTTCACGTCATTAGAGTTGAGTTTAGAGCACTAGAACTGGGTTTAGAACCCCAGCTCTAGAAATGGAAAGATCACACAATAACACCTATCACACCATCCGTAAATAAAGTGTTAATGTTGTATACAAAAATAAATAACTAATTAATGATAATAATATTTATGCTTATGTTTGTTTGTTTAATAATGTTTGAGACCATTAAAAGTGATGTTCTAAAAGCACCACCAGTGATGTGGCAGTAGACGGGGCCTACTGTTTGTCTTTTTTTTTTTTTTTTTAATGCTTGCAACTCATTAGTGATGTTTTAGAGTATCATTTTTAGTGAAATGTATCATTACCGTTGTTTGTTAATTTTTTTTTTTTTTTTCACGTCATTAGAGTTGAGTTTAGAGCACTAGAACTGGGTTTAGAACCCCAGCTCTAGAAATGGAAAGATCACACAATAACACCTATCACACCATCCGTAAATAAAGTGTTAATGTTGTATACAAAAATAAATAACTAATTATAAATTTTGTTAGAATTTTAAATACTAGCGGTATTGTGTGGTAACAATTACTATATAACGTTGTTTACTAATATATCGATTGATATTATTGTTTAAAATCATTTGTTATATACTAAAGTAACACCTTTCATGTTAATTTATCAGGTTCATTTTGAATACTGAATCATATTAATGTACGGGTTATTATTATATTTTTGTTTATTTACCATTTCATAATGAAAAAAAGAAAAAAGAATTTTAGAACACTTTCCAACTTGCATCTAAAACCTTCCCAAGTTTGTAAAATACTTTCAAACTCACAATCACAATTCTATATGTTACGATGGTCGCACTTGCCTGTTTCCTAGAAGCTTATGAAGCCTAACAATGAGATCAACTTCATCTACCCCAAAGCTTCCTCTCTTAATATTGGGCCTCAGATAGTTCAACCATCTCAATCTACAACTCTTCCTGCATCTGTTCAATCCTACCAAAAAAACAAAAAACCATCAAAACACATGACACTCAAAAAATAAAAAAGAGAAAATAAATCTCTCTCTCTCTCTCTCTCTCTCTACCTGCTTTGAAAGGAACTTGGTGCCACTTTCCTTCTCCATTAGTTTCAATGCACTTCTTAAGGAGGTTGTCTTCTTCCTCAGTCCATGCACCTTTTCTCACTCCTAAAGGAACACCTTCCATAGCCTAGGCTACCCTCCCTATTATTAATGTATAATGTTTTGTTTAATAAGCACATGAAATGTTTCGAGTACGGATGTTCAAATGAGTAAAGAGGTCGGACATATATATAACTGGATACACATGGTGTGTGTGTGTGTGTGTGTGTGTGTGTGTGTGTGACGTGCATGTTTGGCAGCCACGAAACTAGAATTGAAAGTATACGGTACCAACAAATGGTGAACAGTAGTAGTTCCATAAATTGTCTATCAACAACCAGTCCAACGATTTTAACCCTCTTAAAGTGCAATTTATACACCGTGTACATTTTTTTGCTTTTTGGTTTTTTTTGTTGTGTTATAGTGTTTCCAAGCTCCTCTTCTTACTTTTTTTTTTTTTTTTAAGCAGTTTTTTTTTTTTTTTTTTTTTTAAGCAGTTAGGCCACATTTGGAAAAATATTATTTTAATAATTTTTTAACTTTTTATAAAAAAAAATGTGTAAAAAAATAAAGAAAGTGATATGACAATTTATACTGACTTTTTAACTTTTTAACTAAAATATATAATTGACAAACGAGACCTTAATATATGGCAAAAAAATGGGCACTCGGCATGACTACCAAATGTAGACCATTGTATTTCCCCTAATCATTGTGTGGAATTTTCAAAACATCAAAGTTTTGAGTAATTTTGGATTGTTTTGGAGTGATTTGTGTGTCATGGAAAATTTTACAAGTAGGCTATGTTTATTTATTTTTATTTGATAATTAAGAGATAAGTAATAATTTATTTTCTTGATTGCTTTGATTGGTGGCTCGCCAATCTTGGTTGGGAGCAGTGCTAGAATATGATTGGGTAGCTTTTTCTATGCCAACTTAATTGGGATAGGGAGGTGATGCTATGATGCTATTGGTACTTTTCATTTTCTTTATTAATGCATGTTGTGCCATGTAATTTATCTTTAATATTCTTGTTAGAAAAAAATGGTTTTAAACCGTGATTTTTCAATAACTTTGAACTGAAAATTAAGTGGGAACCACCGAAAAGTGATGATGAAGAGATGCAGTAGTTCCAAACAATCAATTTGTACTATGCACTCTGGCAATTTAGACCATTAGAAATAACGGCTCAATGTGGCAACAAGTTAAAAAAAAAAATCAATTTTTTGGTTTTTTAATTTTTTTAGTTAAAAAACTCAGTTTTTTTACCTAAAAAAAGCCAGTTTTTTGCCAATGAAGCCACCAAAAAAGTAAAAAGGTCAAAAAGTCAATTTTTTACTAACTTTCCAAAACACTCCAAAATAAGTTTGTTGTATACGAAGACAGTTATTTAATTTTTGTGTAGTGACCATTGTATCTTGGACTTAGAACGTTCATCAGATGAGGGTAAATTTTTGTCATAAAAACACAATGTTCAAATACTAACTTCAATCACATATTGTTCTAAGTTTTGCAAAATTTCTATAAGTAATTGCTCCTCCAATTTATTTTTCGCTTTATTTGCAAAAATTGAGAAAATTGACTTAAATATTAAAAAAATCACTAAAAATAAATAAAAATTCAAACAAAAAATTGTGTGCATTTTTGTTCAGATTTTCAATTGCTTTTTAGTAAATTTTTTTTCCTATTGTGGTTATTTATTTTTTTTTATGCATCTAATCTTAATGTCTCTAAAACATAAAAACATAAAATAAAATAAAAAAGACTAAAATACAAAATTAATAATAAAAAAAAATCCATCTAAAAATAATTTTTAAATATTAAAACCAAACAAAGTCACGTGATCATTTTCACTTTTGGCCACACAATCTATCCTTTTTTTTCCTTACTTTTTGGCAGCTTATCCATTTTTCGTTCAAAAATAAATGTAACAATTTTAGCTAGACGCCAAACCGCCCTACAGAAACTAATCATAATGTAGACACGTAATGTATGTAAAGGGATAAATTTTAAAAAATAGACTCTACTAATAAAGAGGGTGATTCAGCCCACTAACTTTTGAACTATTAATAGTTCTAATGAACTTCAAAAAATAAAAAAAAAAAATTCAAGCCAAAACATTACATCACTTTGGTGGGGTCACTGTGCCACATCATTAGTAATGCTCTAAAGCTCTCAATTTAGTACTCTAAAACATTATTCACTAATAAATTATGTAAAATTATATATATTTATGTACATAATGTATAGTCTGTAATCAATGTCTGTAGTAGTAAATTTTCATTTGTATGCAACAAATATTGATACGGTCGCTTTCTGATAGATCCACGAAGAGTGTTTCGTTACCATATGTGTAAGAGGGGAGTGACGAAGAGGTATTCAGTGAACCAAAAAGGAAAAACAGAAAAAAAGTCTCGAAAATGAAATAATAGACAACAGAAATAAATATAACTACGTAGTTTAACGACGTTGATTGATAATTGACTATTGTGCGTTGCTTTAGGAGGAAACTTTCCAACGTATTAGGATTTTTACGAGTTTAGTTTTTCTCAAGTTAGCCATTTTGAGAGAGTATTTGGGCTTGATAAAGCCCATTTGCGGACCAACCATTTACTTTTTAGGATTTCTTCCACAGGATACTCATGCAAAAAATTAAGACGATCGGATATCAGTAGTTATATGTTTGAAAAAGATTTATATTACAAACAATGAATGTATATTTTTAAAATTATATTTATCGTTTATTTTTTTTAAAAAAATATAATATCAAAATTATAGCTATCGATATTCAATTATCTTAATTTTTTGCATGAATATTCTACTCAACAAGTCTTGAAAAGTAAACGGTTCATATCACCAAAATCGGTCTAAAAATGGGCCTACCAAACCTAAACACTATCTCAAGTTGAGATAACAGTATGAGAGAAGCCAAACTTATATTTTAAATTCATTAATTCTTATCTTTCAAATTCCTTGATTTGTGAAAATAAAAAAATGACCAACCATTTACTTTTTAGGATTTCTTCAACAGGCTATTCATGCAAAAAAATTAAGACGATTGGATATCAGTAGTTATATGTTTAAAAAAGATTTATATTACAAACAATGAATGTATATTCTTAAAATTACATTTATTGTTTATTTTTAAAAAAATATATATATATAATATCAAAATTATAGCTATTAATATTCAGGCCAAGTTTGGGAAGACTAAAAAAGTGCACTTTTTGTCTTTTTGGACTAAAAAATTAAGGTTGAAAATATGGATGTTTGGGTTAACTTTTTGACTTTTTATTGAAAAATGTGTAATAAAAAATTGTAAAAATTGATTTGTAGGAAAAAATTTGAATTGAGAGTTGTGCAGCCGTAATTGTTGACTTTTGATGAATAGTGTTAACTTTTTAACTTTTTAAGTAACTTTTTGATTTTGAGTAACTTTTTGACTTTTTGACTTTTTTTAAAGTCCCCAAACTTGGCCTCAATTATCTTAATTTTTTACATGAATATTTTACTCGACAAGTCTTGAAAAGTAAACGGTTCATATCACCAAAATGAGTCTAAAAATGGGCCTACCAAACCCAAACACTATCTCAAGTTGAGATAACAGTATGAGAGAAGCCAAACTTATATTTTAAATTCATTAATTCTTATCTTTCAAATTCCTTGATTTGAGAAGCCAAACTTATATTTTAAATTCATTAATTCTTATCTTTCAAATTCCTTGATTTGTGAAAATAAAAAAATCTGCAATTTATGACAATATTATGAATAATAAATTAGAATTTAAAATTTTTAGTTTTTATTTTTAAAAGTTAAAAAATATATGTGACATATAACTATTGATCCATCCAATTCTATTGAACATTCCAAAATATTTAAATTTTTTTAGATTTTTGAACTAACAAAATATTAAAATATGTGACATAAAATGGTTGGTCATTTTATTTTTGCCACAATCCAAATCCGCTCCTATAGATTTCGGACCGTAACCGGCCAATAATCCTAGATTACCCAACCTCAAAGACAAAACTAACAGAAATATTTAATTAAGAACAGGGCCAAAAGCGGAAGCAAAATATAAAATTTAAACATTTGTCCAATGAATTGTGCATGCATGACATATTAAAATGTCTCATTTAGTTAATAACTCACATCCATTATATACAGAAAATAGTACTCAGCCAAGACCATTCATAAGATTATCATTATACAAACTCATAACATATCTATAGTCATGGCTAAACATGGCCAACAAATAAAACAGAAAAATTGAAAGACAAAAGCCTCATGCGTGAGGTATCCTTGGCTGACTTCACAAAAATTTGATAACCTTCACGAATTTACTAGAGCTGGGGTTGGACATCTCGCTGCTCACTTACATACATATACATACGGAGTGAGTTAACGCCTAGTGAATAACATCAGAATTGTAACAACCCCTATCCATAATTAGCCACTAATTCGTATTTAATGATGTTAATGAGTGGATTAAAATAAACTATGTGTTTATTCTGCACTTTGTATGATTTTGACCTTCTATTTGTTACTTATAGAAATATCTGTTTGGAATTCCACTTTAATATGTAAATTGAAAGCCTTATCGGCATTCGAAAACGAAATTGACTACACCGATATGTTATTTGAAATTTTTAGAACCATATGGCAAGTTTTATTAAAAATTGATTCAGTTTGATTCATTATGTCGTGTTTGAATGAACCAAATGCTCTAGTTCATGTATTAATACATCACAGGTATATAAAATGCCTAATAAGCTCATTTGAGCTCATTTCTTTCATCTCTCTTAGTGCACAAATCTGAGAATTCATCTTAGAGAGAGAAAGGTAGAGATTAAGGAGAAATTGAAGGCTTTGACTTGAGCTCACCAAGATTGTGCTAGAACAAAAGTAATTCAACACTCTAGGTAAGATTACAACCTCTAGATTGTGTAACTAAGTCATTTAACATGAAATTTCTTCAACATTATGAGTTTGATGTGTATTTTGAGCTTAGAATAAAGATTTGAGTTGCAATTCATGCATGCATGTACATTTTCTCGCAAATTGAGCATGAACTCCAAAAATTCTCTCATGCATGTTTGAAATTCATCTTAACTAGGGAAGATCATCGAGTTTCAAGTTGTTTTGTGGTGTTTGA